AGCGATCTCAAGACGATTGCAGCAAACAACAAATCGGACAGTAACGATGGTACAGGTGAGTTCCCTACATGTAAAAGGCAAATGTTAATTTAAGATGAACTTTCCCGACATAGTGAAAACTTGAACTTGCTTTCGAAAAAACATTGGCACAGAATCGTGGTCGACAATTTTTAGTTTCAGTGACTTCTTCAGCTTGCCATAAAAATACTAATGCAATGACCAGTCTCAAAAATCCCTTGCAAGCAAGAGAATGACTGGAGGTTTGTAAGAATCCCCTTGATGCGGTCCACAGTTTGACACGAGATGAGGTATCAAAATAAGTAAGACCAGCAGGCATTTGGCACAAGGTTCTTCACCTCATGTTGAGCATCCGCGGATACCAAATCAGTTTTCATTCGATTTCTAATAGAGTGCCTGAAAATTAAAAAAAACTTACTTGCTCATTTTTTGGCAGGCCAAATTTCATTTAAAACCTTCAGTCAAATACTGAGACAAACATATCTTCCACGGGACGATCATTTCAACAAGCTCTTTAATGCATTTGCTGTAAGTGAGCCCAATTCGTTGTTTTAATTGTCTCCTGTCGTTTGAATTTGTGCAACTCCAACTCCACACAGTCAAATTTAATATGCAAAACATGCTACATGACAGGTATAGAGAATATTTTCGACCGATTTTGCATACAAGTAAAGCACGGTCCCCAGTCGATGAATTCCTTTAATCGCTGATGTCCTTGAACGGGTGATCAGTTCGCCATGGGCTTGTTAGCGCAAATAATGAAGGGTTGCAGGTGGCGTTTTAGAGGCACTTCAGATAGGCATCCCTTGCAGAAATGTGCAATTTAGAGATTCTTTTGGATTTGGGAAGGTTTTTGTAAAGTAGTGGCAGGCTTTACGATTGTTGGAAAGTACGCCTATGCCACACGATATCGCGATGTCTTAGACTCATTCCATAAGTAGGCACCTATACCTCTTATACAACCATTGGTCTTAACTGATTTCCCCTGTAAAACCAACTAATACTTTTATGTAGAGAAAAAAGGTCACTTGTAAACAGGCAAAACGAAGTCTACTTTGTAGTCAACTGTTTCAAAATACTTATCATTTCAAACAGAGTTTTCATCCTTCACGCACCTCCCTTCAAAATTTGTTTACTGCATGGCAATTGTTTGTGTTCGCGAAAGACACCGAAAAAAATTTGAACGCCGAAGAGACAGCCTTTTGCAACATAAGTGGCCGTCCCGCGGTCAGTGACGTTGAAAGGGCTGCTATTTTACACCACGGGCCGTTCTCGTTATTGTCGTAAAATTAAAAATAGAAATTTAGCTTGATAACCTGTGAAGCACAGGATTCAGACCAAATAAACTACTCCAAATAGTTAATTATAATCGAGTATGTTTTTAAAAACACACAACAGGAATTAGATGAAAAAGACAAAGGAACACTTTCAGCTGACTATCTGGAGAGTCTGCTCCTAACCAAAGGCGATGTGCTTACCAAGAAGCAAATAAAAGTCATAATGAAGGAATCAAAGACAGGCGCCGACGGACTCTTCGCTTATATGGGTGCGTAATTCATGCAAAGCCTTTCATAACCAGGGACTGGTACAATGGATTATTTCCCAGCACTTTGTCTGGCAAGCACACGGCGCTGTACAAGGCGTTGCCCACATCCCGGTGGCCAGGTTAAATTCGTTTGCGGCAACCCGTAAAAATCAAAGGAAGGTCATAAGACAAGCCGATACGGTGGGTACAACGGCCTTTTCTCAGACTGCGTTGAGTTATATTGAGTCGTTGTGTGCAGGCATTTAGGGTAGCGCAAATGAAGGATACAAGTGTCGCTGTGTTAGGCTACAAAATTCAACAAATGGCAGGATTATCTTGATGCATTGTGCAGACTGGTGTAAAGGGATTGTTTCATTATCAAAGGGAGAGCTTTGACGCCCTACCCCCAGTGAAATTAAAAAAATAATCGATCTTATCGACTACGAAGTGACTGTCAAAAACTCCAACAATTATTTTCACCCTCGTAACTAGTGTTGTTGAACCTTCAAAATCAAACGCGTAGGCTTCAATTAACTATTTCTGCCCAATTCAGTATTAGTATTTAACTGGAGGAAGCACCAATTTAAGCGTGAGGCTGACTGGCAAAAACGATTTTTGCTAATTATTTACGTTTATGGCCTACTTTATCGACCTGCTGATTGCTCTTCGAAACTAAAACACCTCCAAAAGATTTTCTGACCATTTCAACAAACCCTTACGTTTTTGTGCCAAGACAACACATGAGACCCTTACTCCCAGTCAAACAGTGTGTCTAATTGTTGAAAATGGTACCAAGGCAGAGTCGGAAGTAAAAGCTCAGTCATCATGTGTTAGGTTGCTCGCAGAGTTTAGCGAGGAAGGGACAAACGCTTACCTGGGGGTGTTACTGCTTTGTCGTGATCTTCTCAACATAGCCTCAGCAAAATTCAAATGCATCAGCGACTCCTCCGTTACAAGATAGCGATAAGAATGGTCTCAATACCACAAAAAGTGCATCAAATAATATAGGACAATCATGTTTATATGTCAAACACAAATCTTTACATGTAATAAGGCGTACTTTGATGGTGATTGAGTATAGAAACCATTGTGAATGTCATTTGCCTAACCTGTCTTTTTTCTTGTTAGGTTTCACGGCCCGACTGATCGACGGTTATTCGAAGCTTAGTCGCACGACGAAGACTGAAAATCAAAAAGCAACCAAGGAATAAAGATATTCAATTTACTAAGTAAATCTTTCCTTTCGCGTGATTATGTGGACAATCTTCTGGCTACAAACGTTATCACTGAGTCACCTCACCTCATATAAACACAAGCATCATTAATAATTGACCTTTCTAAGCAAAATTCATTCTGAATTCAATGCACCGGACAGTAATTTAGCAGGAACGCGTCAGAGTTAAAAAAAATCAAATAGCATGGCACTTAGTCCCGTACTACATTCTACGATAATGGTGTCTTTAAAGAGTCGTAGGTGGGAAGAACATGAGGCTAACCAATAGTTAAAACAATTTAATAATTTTGTTTGGCCATTTTACAATCACGACTCTCAAGGTTGGGGTCGCCCGTAATCACCACCTTTGGGGGATCTTTACAGGTAACCACGTGGCACATCCACATATTCCCTATGTCAGTTGACGATGTTGGCCAATAAGCAGTGGCTTCCAGATAGACCTGAAGAACATAATTAAACTCAATAAACACAAAATCGAATACAGGTCAGGGACGAAATTAGTTGAATGGGGCAGAAATATGAAGAAAATGCCCGCAAATTTTCATTAACTGACTAGGTGATTACTTAATGCTGATTGAAAGAGGAATATGAAAAATTTTGGTGGGAACAGCCAATGAGGTATGGGGATCTGGTGACCAATTGGAATAAATATTTTGAGTGAAGGAGGGACATATGCGTCCATGGCAGTGGGCGGCACCAGGAACTGCTAGCAGTTGGCCAACGGGCGTGCGCATAAAGTCTGAGGCGACTTTCTGGGGGTCTTGTATTTCTTCTCTTATTTCTGCCTGCCCTTCACACCAATTTATGCAACAAGGTGATCCTTAAATTTACTCAACGAGGAGGAATATGGTCAATGGCAGTAGCCACGAGGCCTTTGGTAATAGTAAGTCTACTAGTCTTGATGTTTCTTGGTAGTAAGTCAATCTAAACCAAACGAAAAAACGACTTTCCTTCTTTAGTATTAATGGGATTAGACCTAGCCTATTAGAGATTGGATTTTACTGACAACTCTGGAAACATTACTTTTAAAATAAAGTTAGAAGTGCGTTCCCCACGTAGGTTCGGGCTAACTTGGTTAAGTAAATTAACCTGTCATTAGCAATTACAGGCAAATAATGTACTTGTCGATGTATTTTACGTAGTAATCCACGAGGAAAGGGTGAATAGTAATCATATTAGATAAGTTACGTAAGAGGCAAACAAGGGTATAATTTCCTATCTTGACAGATAGAATTTATTCCAGGACCACAATAAAGAAACACCTAACTTGGATGCGCACATTTCTACCTCTCCCTGGTATTGTGTGAAGTGACCGGCATTAGTCCCGTTCGGAATTGAAAACCAACAAGGGTGCGAAGTGTCATCCGAATCTAACTGAGTATTTTATTGGAATTGCATCGATTCTCTTTAGAACAAGTCGAAGTAACTCAATTCTTCTGTTCTCGATTCAAATTAACATCTGTTTACCGCTCTCATGCCAGCTAGCGGTGTCTTGTGTTCAAGCATGTGCTTATACAGAGATTGAAATGCAACATTGAAAGGGAAGGTTTTGGAATGGAGCCAGTTATGCATTCTTGACTAGAGATTATTATTGCGGGTTTCTCACTTCAAAATTTGTGTTTAGGTTTTCGATGAATTCCTTTATGGCAGAAGTTATTAGCAATTTCATCATCGTGCAATAAAACACTTTTCACCTGTTTTCAACATCAGGCTTCAAATACAAGCACAAACAAATGATAAGTGGGGACTTGACCAGCATTGAATACCCTCAAAACAAATTGCAACGGTGTGTAAACAAATGCCAAAATGCGCCAAGTAGAAAGTCCAGGTGGCCACAACTAGAGGTCTCGAATAAACAATTTAGTGCAGCCAGAAGAACTCAGCGTGGATTGACAGCTGCTCAGGATTGTTTGTCAATTTTAAATATCACACGGACTTTAGTCAGCTTTAACAAAAAGGGGACACATTAGAGTTCTAAAATGGCTTTCACCAGCTTCGTTTGCATGACTTTCAAATCGTGTATTCAACTCCATGACGCACGAGGTTGCTTAATTTAACATAATGCCCGATGATTTTACATTTACTTTCCTTACATATGTTATAGGCGCGTCTAGAGACGAATCGCTTCCTCTAGCTGAAAGAAAGCTTTACAGAAATGCACTTGAGCTTCAATCAAGTCACTCGTATTCCCACTCAAGCCCGAAGCTGCCACTTTCAGGTCCAATGCAACCCTGTTATTCTCTTAATGGGCTTCAACTAGGCGCTTGCTCGGATAGTCGTAAAAGCGTTCGGTTTGCCGAGCACATCGGATTGAGACGAATCTCCTACACAAACACGGAAGAAGGGTTCACTGAGTGGATATCAGGAAAGCTTAAGGCTTTACGCCCCTCCAGAGTCTCTACTGTTATACACCGGGATGACTCAAGCGTCCCCACGTTTGGATTACGGTGTCTTTCAAAGGTCGGTCGCAGACATCGGTCAGTGAGCCCAATCGAAGCTGTTGTCTGGAAAAGTGGTCGACAGTTACGTCAAGTCCCTCAATCATCAAATATCCTCAGGCGAATCCACGATTTCTCCACTAATTTTCGACGCAGTCGTGAACGCCTTCGCCTTAACTCATGGCGAAGTCAACCTTCACTAAAGCCATTTACTGACAAATGTAAACAATATACAGATTTACCCGCTGATTCTCATTCGGGTAAGATGGAGTCAGTTTACATATCTGATGCGGACGAGGATTACGAGTGGGAGTGCACATCGAGCGAATGGGACAACTATGAAAATGCCCTTTTCTTCCGACCTCAACAAGAAAGGTTCGTGAGAGTCGGTCTCTATGAGTCTACAAACAGCTGCAGTCCCGATGCGGATTATGAGTTCGACGAATACACTACCCGTGAAAAACAGCACGCCCATAATTTAAGGCCGAACAAGCGTTCGGAAGACGGAGAGATAAGTGCCTTATCGGGTGGGTCCCAGCCTCCCGGTGAACTAGTGCTTTCTTCATATGTTATCCCGCAGACGACCAAACTTCAAGATCGTGTGACAAAATCCTTGAGTAGACTAAATCTACCTCCATGGATGAAAAGTGGGACAGAAAATTTTACCAAGGATAGGGTTTTTGGATTAACCAAATTTGTTTCCCATCTCCCTCGATTTCCTCGATATGTTTGTGCTACCGAGGACACTGGCGAAGTAATTCAAGCAAAGCATATTACTCGGGAGTTCTTTCAAAAGGTGTAAGAAGCTTTGAAGATTTTCGTTCCTGGGAGAAGTGTCTTCTCGTCTTTCGTGATTTCGCATGTTTCTTCATTCTATATAGGGAATTTCGGCAGATGCTTTCATTCGCAATAATGAACCGTACCTCTCTATGGGCCTCTTGCGCTTGGATAATGAACTCTTTGCAGATGGGATGGCACAACGACATTATGTGAAATCTTTGTTAGCTTTTTAGAAATGGAGCCATTTTAGACAACTATGCTAGGTAATCGAATTGTCAAATATCCAAACAAGATTTTTAGTACCCAGGTTAAATTGCTGAAGCTATAAAATTGCGATGAGTCAGCTTAAACTATGTCATCCGTCTATTTAGTTAGAAATATTTTGAACTCCTTTTAGCAGTGCTTCAATGACCCAAGTCTAAACAAACGAAGCCAGTAATAAGGTGCGTTTTGGCTCGGTTAGAACGGCTGGATAAATGGATAAGATGGTTCAAACCAGAGTCTAGCGCACACATTTACGGCAACACTACAGGACAGACCCAATGTTCTAGGGTCTAAAGGTGTAGAAGTCCTTCACCTTCCTTTTAACAACAACATCAACGGTTACATTTCTATTTCATTGTGGCTATGAAGCCCTGGATTCTATTTTCAAATTACGGTTGTATGAAACAGCTAGGTTCACCAACTGTTTTGCATCAAACAAAATACGCTCCCAAGTAAAACTACACGAAGTAAAGGTACATATTTTAATGAATAAGTCGCAAATCACTGGACGGACTCTGGTGAAAAAAACTAAGTTTAAATCTGCATTTTATCAAAGTTCAGAAAAAGCAACACCAATCGAAATTCCAAAAGTGTCAATAGAGAGATATTTGTGTTAGTAATTGATTTAATAAATGGTCACCCATTTTATAGCAAACTTAGTTAAAATGATTTTTTATAGCAGGCACTTAGGCGTTAATGCGGATAGGCATGTCTGTAAGCACCCATGCTCATTTCTTTTTGTCAAACTTGGTAAATAAGGCTGCAGACACAACTGGGTGCATAGAACTCGTTGGCTATGTTTGAAATTTTTTTGTAAAATATAATGATGAACTCATTTACAAGTGTACAATGTGGATTTTACGTAGAATAAAGATGGCTTTAACGGGAATCTACAGTGTTTTTAGCTAATCATAGTCCATCCTGATATGTACTGATTTTTTGACGTAGGAATTGACGTTTAAGGAGAAAACATAGCAGTCCTTAGTAAAAAGCAACATTAAGGGCCAGATGCCTATTTAGTAATCAATTTAGGGAAACGGAACTGATACATTTCTGCATGCAATTTGGCGTTATACAAATTGAAATTACTTTCAGAAGACCACAATGAAGTCTGAGGGCACATTATTGACCTCAAAAGCTTAAAAGCAGCTTGCAAAACATTTTTTTTGCAACTGGAATTTTTAAGTGCTACTTCTGCAAATTTGACAACTTTGGGATTTTAATAATGTAGGCAAATTTATTGAACATTGAGTAATTGAATTTTAGGCGCATACATAGTTAGTCCATTGTTTATTTTGAAAGCTAAACGAAATGTTTTCATACTGACTATAACAGTGCCGTTTGAAAGTTGCTAGAAGAGTTCAAATGATAGCGAAAAGACTCAAATTAATTTATGAGAGAACTATACAGTTAGAGAAAATAATTCAAGAAACCCAATAGCAATTTCTTTCGGCCAATCAATCGATGATTTTCCTGACATGGCCCTTTAATTTGACTCTAGGCTCAAGAAAACTTTGACGAAATTAAACTACATTATACAAGCTCGTTACCACGTGTCGTGGATGGAAACTAAACAATGCCATTAGATGTGAAGCAACTCAGTGGTTTTTGGAAAATTTCTGCATGCCTATTCTAATGAGGTCCGATTTCTTCATGGATTTTACACAGAGATGATTGTCAGGGTCCGGCCGCTCTACCTCCGACACAAGGTTCACCTTTTCGCAGCATGCCCTTAACTTCGCACGAATATTTATCTTGGATTATCCTCACACCTAGGTCTCGGTGTCAGCGCACACATCCGAAATATAAATACACACGCGCAAACCCCACAGACGACACAACGACACCAACGAGGTTGAGCTTCGGAGCAAACGGTTGTGTCCATGTCCCCTCCTATCTTTTTCTTCATCACGGGTAGTAGGTAATCGTAACTGGGCCGGCGTTAATTCCGTGGTCTCGGCGTGGTTTAAGACCACATGCTGGGGACCAAAACAGGCCACTTGACAAACGCTGCCTAGGCAACCTCTTCATCTTTCCTTGTGTCCAACACTAAAATAAAGCGAAACACAGTTAATGAATGTGGGAGGGCTTGAATGGATACCATTGTTTATGCAAAGCATTATGAAAAGCACTGAAGACTGTAGGCTTGAATATACAATATGATTAAAGGATCAGCTAACTACTACTAATGTGTGGTATTCCCTATCACACGATGCTTCGAGTCTCATTTCACTCATTTCCATAATCTAATAATCCTGCGAGCATTTATATGCGTGCCTAACACAGACTAAACTTGTCTAGTAATCCGATAAGTGGTGGGACTACCAATAAATATATCTTTCTCGTTCTTCTTTGAAGTTTCGTGGTTATATCATGGTCCCCTTACGACTACTGACATTGACCTGGATAAGAGCACCACATTAGGCCACACAAAATAGCGCTTACCTTGGGTATGCTAGTTGTTTCTGATGTAATCTGTAAGGAAAGGAGTTAATACATATCAAAAAAGAGAGCATCCTAAGAAATTAAGGCAGTGATTAATAACTATAGTTCTTTTATGTAATATTAGCCTAAACGTAAATTTAACACTTACAGATTCGGGTGCTAAAGTTAGAACCTTTAGTAATAAAGCAAAATGCACGTTGAATATGGCTTTTACCTACAAAAAGAGAATTTATTAAATACTCTTGATAAAAAACATGTGAATTTCAGACTGATGCTGGTTTCCGACTGTTAAACTTTTAAGACAAATGAAAATAGTGAATGAAGTCTTTACTGGAAAAACTTTGAGTCATGAAGATGTTTTCTTACGAAATAAATACTTATTATATGCTTAGAATACGTTTGTTGGAAATAAATTTTGAGTCTATAAAAAAATTAAATTTAGACCCAATCCGTTTGAGACCACATTCAGGAGCATTTAACAAATAGACATAGAAGGAAAATTATGAATATTTTGGAAGTCTAACCTTTAACCTTGTCGTAATTCATATTTATTTACACTCCTTAATCCGGTTGCTCTATCCTCTGACACAGGGTTCCACTTTTCGCAGCATGTCACTAGCCGCGCGGTATATGGCTTCGCAGCAACTTTAGTGTTGTGATAGGCCACGTATTTCAGTCATAAATATCATAGTAATTTTGAGTGCACATTTCTAAGGGTAATGCTAACAAGATTTCATATAGCCAAAGTGGCAATATATACATCCATTCGAACTTCGTGACATTTAACTTAAAGACGTAGCTATACACATATTTTAAGTTGCATTTACATGGCGCACTTTTTCCTATAGCATATGCTGAGTCATCAGCTAAGGCCTGTTAAAATATTTTAAGCATATCTAAATAAAAATCCTGCTCAGCTACAATCTAAAACTGTCTAGGAGCTGTTATGCTTCGTAACATCAATTAAAGTCTAGAGAAAACCGGTTTGAAAATTTTATCAGCATAAGTGTCAACAGAATGTAAATCAATTGTATAGCCAATAAAAAATAATAGCGCCATTAAGATTTAACACTAAATTAATCAGGAAATGAAAAAAACATTTGTTCCAGGTTTCCAATAATATCTTTAATGTTTTTCAGAGGAAGCCGTGACAGACATAAAAAGAAAAATGAGTGATTGATGGAAGTGAAGATCATCATGATCACGGCCCTAAAATACAATTCGTTTAGTTGTGCCTTAAACCTTCTTTTACAAATATGAGACAATAAGTTTCTGACAACTAAGAATACCGACAATTTTGTCAAAATAACAGACTTCAAGTTATCATGAAAAAATATCTCTGCACCATTGCATTTGCATCAAAAATAAAATTTAAAAGCAAAAACCCGCACTCTAATTGCATCAATTCCTGTATAAGGTGTTTTGTTTTGCAAAAAAATTCACGGTGTTTGAACTGCCATTTTAGGGGGTTCGGGGATTTGAATTTCTGAGTCGCCATATTCTGGTTCTGCTCGCAGGAATGGCCGGCGACGATAAAATGAACATTGATAGTATAATTGCACGCCTTTTGGAGGGTAAGCCGGTGAACTTTATAGTCGCATAATTTGTTTCCTGCTGTTATTTATTGTTTTGTTTGTAGTGCGACGCATAAGGCCGGGTCGAAATGTTCAGCTAAATGATTCTGAAATCCGAGGGCTCTGTCTCAAATCCAGAGAGATATTCCTAAGTCAGCCGATTTTACTCGAACTTGAAGCTCCATTAAAAATATGTGGGGATATACATGGACAGTACTATGACCTTCTGCGTCTTTTCGAATATGGAGCTTTCCCGCCGGAAGCCAACTACCTGTTTCTCGGTGATTACGTCGACCGTGGGAAACAGTCTCTGGAAACAATCTGCTTGCTCCTCGCATATAAAATCAAATACCCAGAGAATTTCTTTCTTCTAAGAGGCAATCACGAATGTGCCTCAATCAACAGAATTTACGGATTTTATGATGAGTGTAAGGTGTACAATTCTGGTGTAATCACACTGTCCGTGGCCAATTGTTTCTTTGCAGGCTTGTTGTATTTGGGTTTATGGTTATGCTGTCAGCCGCTCGTTTTAGCTGTCAGAAATTATGCTCCATTTGTTCACTCTTTAAATTTGCCTGACTCACTGCGTGGAGAAAAGTCAGTTGCGAAATTATTCTTAGAGTCCTACTAAAATTGATTAAATTGCTATTTCAGACCATTTTCGGCACTATTACTTACATGTGACTTCTTAAGCTTATTTAGCCTGCCTTTCTTAATTAGCATTGTCCATTTTTCTTTCTACGTAATACGTTGGCCATACTTGATGCACGATCCCAAAACAAGGACCACTTGTTTAGGTGTAGGATTCAGAGTAAACTCTCAGCCCCTACACGGAGTTAATTTTTGAATAGTCGTTAAAGAGATATATGTGATAAAAGGTTTTGCTCTATAGGAATTTTTTCCTTATACCAGACACCCGCCGGTAAAAGAAACACTAAAATACGAAGCTTGCTAACCTGAGCTGCATTGCTCTCGCAATGGTTCAATTTTTTTAAATTTACGTCGTAACGAAATTGTAGTCAGGGGTGTTCCGCGACATTCTGTGGAGAATTTATTTCACGTTAGGCATCATTAATGGCAAAATCGTAATACTGGGGACATGTAATACTTGTCGGTCATCCAAACCATTAAACGTATGATATTTCTAGTGCTATTTACTGACGTTGGGAAATTTGTCCCCAGGTAACAACTTCGGTTGCTGTCTGTCTTAAATGTCTTGTAAAATTAACTCGGTGATATTCCTATTTCATCATTAGCAATAAACGATCCATCAGTATAGTGACAGCTAATAACTATTGCGGCCTTTCATGTTTCTGCAAAAACAGCCTCTGATGTTTGAAATTAGATGATCCAGCTCGGAGTTGCAATCATGACTATTCAGGTTGTGATAATTTTTTGAGTAATTTGGGGGAGCTTATAGTAAGATGAGTTTAATTGAGAAAATTGTTTGCCAAATGGGAGCCAGAAGTAAAGTAAGACATCTTGACTACCCTGTATCCTCAGGCAAAGCTTTAAATTGTATATCAATTATCTTCAAGACTTCTTAGGTTTAATGTCATATGAGAGCTACGATCCGTGTCACGGATGACAGTTCCTCACGTAGGTTTCAAGTAGATTTCCACTGTGTCAAAATAGCTCCTCTAGCTACTGGCTTGTTTTTTTTCTTGCTGTTTATTAATGTCCCACATTGTTGAGGTCACCTTCAGGCAACTGGGTGAAGAGAACTTTAATAGCAAATCTCAGAACGTGTGAAGTGTTTATAAATGGGTTGGTGTGCTCCAGTTCTGTTGCACAAGTTTTCGTTAGCACTAGACAATTTTGGATCCAAGTACTTGGTCCATTATTGATGCCTGGATCTTGATTCAAATCTGGGGTAGGAAGTTGGTCTTATGTCTTTCGGTTTGTCCCGATTTTACACTGAAATTAAAAATAAAATCAACTTAGTAGGGAACTCCCTCTGTAAATCACACACGTATGCAATTTGCACGAGTGTATCGGGTTAGGTCGTGGTCCAGCCGTAGAATCACGCCGTAAACAAATGGACAAGGGTGTTACACTACACAATCTAGTCACTACACTTGACTAATTGTATTGTTTTGGTGTGTTGCGGGTAATTTTGCCTCAAACTGACGACGACACTTGACGAACTAATGACCCTTCTTTTTGCCTACCATCACACAAATGTTCCGGTATAAGGTATAAATGTTGAGGACAAGTTATGTAAAGTGTTTTTGTCTCGATTAAACACACGTGGGTTCTCAACTTTTAGGTAAACGGCGTTACAACATAAAACTTTGGAAAACTTTTACGGATTGCTTCAATTGTCTCCCTATCGTCGCAATCATTGATGAGAAAATATTCTGTTGTCACGGGGGTGAGTTTCTGACATTTTTCATTCTTATGACACGTAGACAGCGTTGTAATATTTTCAACTTCCAGTAACAATAGAGCGCATAGGGCTGATTGCCTCGTGTTTGTCCACTAACTCACCACTTCAACTTTTAGTAAACACTCGCTTGAAGTCATGGAAGTTTTTTCGATCGACTCGTTGTCACCTTGTTAGTTTCAGGATTGTATAGTATTGTGTTCTCGCAATTAGCAGCTTAGTTTCGTCTATAAAACTTATTTGATTTATGCTTTTGCCAAAACGACCTCAGTGGAAATTTATCAGAGACCCCATCGTCCCAACCCTACTGCAAATATCGAAAATGCAGGATGGTCAGAGTAAAGTGCGATTTTCACGTTTTAAAAAATGGTAAAAGTAAAACTTTCTAGTTCGGTGGTCTATGTTGGGGATTACTGGATGCATTTGATGTGTGTGGTTACTGGTATTCACCTACCCATGACGTTATGACCTCAAGCGTTGATGCCGGCGCGAGTGACGTATTGCGTAGATGTGACTCTACCCCGAACATAGCTTTAAATTAATTTAGTAATACGTCGAAATCACTGTATCTCTCCGATTTTTGCATCATTGATCGCCTCTCCGTGCAACGAGATTCGAATTTTCTGCTATTCAACGTTGCCGTGAGCGCTACTGGGGTTCTCAGCTAGAGGGGGAAAAATTTTATAATGATGCCTCAAATAACTACTACCACGCACACTTTATTATACCTCAGTGTGAATAACACAAAAAACTCAAGTCGGTGGCAAGCGTGCAAACTACTTACTTCACTATTGGTCAGAGTTCCCGGGTCTGGTGTTGAAATCTGCTTTGACAAGGTCCGCTTAGCAAATACTATTCTTGAAGGCGTTGTTGGTTTATGCACTCCAGTGAGGTCAGAATTCTGTGTCCTTCAGAAAGTATCGGCATTTGATCCTCTTTGTAGGTCTTTCGCCGGACCTGCTGAACATGGAGCAGATTCGACGCATCATGCGTCCAACAGATGTTCCTGAGCAGGGTCTTCTTTGTGACTTGCTCTGGTCAGACCCTGATAAGGACGTTTCGGGTTGGGGTGAAAATGATCGCGGTGTAAGCTACACTTTTGGCACCGATGTTGTGGCAAAGTTCCTGCAAAAACACGACCTCGACCTCATATGTCGGGCACACCAAGTCGTAGAAGACGGTTATGAATTCTTTGCTAAACGGCAATTAGTCACATTGTTCTCGGCGCCAAACTACTGTGGAGAGTTCGACAATGCTGGTGCCATGATGTCCGTCGATGAGACTCTCTTATGCTCGTTCCAGGTATGTGGTCAAGTGCTTAAGTTATCTTGCTGGGTGCTGTCGTAAATTGACCGACTGTGCTAACAGTCTTGAGTTGATTGTTGAATTACATGTCAATTTCGGTAACGCCCGTTAGCCATGCAAATGCTATCAGTAATGCTGTGTTACCATCAAGCAACTTTTTAATAAGTCAGCCATGCTCCTTGATCAATTTGTCAAAGGCACTTTCGTTCATATCGTCATTGGAACCAGCCGATGCTACTTGTGGCTTCACATCGCCTATATTGCCGTTCGCACCTTGTGGTATTCGGTGACTTTGTTGGATAAGATGCAACCACTTTCGACTTAAATCGCCAACCATTTTTTAATAGCCACATCGGCTTTTTGTTAAATTTTGTATGTGTTATTAATCCCATTACTTTGTGTAAGCTCTTAGCGTCATACTTTGGGCCCTCTATGCCTAACTCTTCACTTTCTGTAAATTTCATCTATTTTACTAACTTTTTTTACGTATAGTGCCTGTTAATTGCTACAATTTAAATGACTTTCCTTATATCCTTCGATTTTCACTGACTCCTGACTGGTGCTAGCTGTTGAAACCAAATAGGCTTGTGAAAAGTCAATACACTTGTTCCTAGATGACCTATCCTTGTTGTCAATTTGGCTTTTGTGCCTTATGCGCTCATCCTTTTTTTCAAATGTTTTACACCAAACTGGTGGCTATTGAATTAAGAAAACATTGGGGAACGTCATAGTCATGTTTTAGTGCCATTGCCCATAAGGTGTGCAACTAATGTCTGAATGGTCTGGGGCGTAGTCACATTTTCAAATGCAATGTTTTGATATTGTTCACCAACACGTAGGTTTGGGAGCTTTTAAGTAGGAGAGTGGGCTTTCCACCTGACCTCGACCTGACTCCTAGAGGACGGCCCCGCCTGAAAAGTTGTCGTCAGTTTTGACGAAGTGGTAGATGAGGGTGCGGCCGAACAGGTCATGCCGACCCGATGTTGAGGGGCAATTTACTTGAAGCAATCTCGACCTGTGCTCTGTCTGTCAAGTAGGCCTGTGCGTTGGTTAATGTTCTCTGGTGTCAACACAGGGAGAGTTCTAGCTGACTAGATTAGGTTCCTCGGAGTTTTCTGTGTGTGGGTTGGGAAAAACGTAAAACAATGATGATTCTACAAAGTATCTAGACAACGAGGCTCAAACTGTTTTTAAAACTGGTTGTATATTAAGGTTTTGATCCCGCAATAATTTTTTTTAATTTGGCTTCCAATTGACAATGAACTGCTATACCACCATTATTTTCGTGTAGTGGAAACGCTTACCCCTTCTCCGACAAGATAAGCAAGAAACAGAGGACCGTGTGGAATCATGCGTTTTAGTGCCACAACCTGTGAATTGAATTTGTGCATGCCATTTTTTGCTTCCTTTAACTCATATTTCCATTATTTCACTCCCTACGTCATCTTGGTTTACATGTGACGCCACGTGAAAAAGTAGGCGCGCGGCACGGGTTACTGCAGTATTGTTTAATTCAGTAGCTGAATTCGTGCAAAACATTCGTGGGTTTTTGGAGGCTGAGACGTCTTGTCGCCGAGTCCCAAGTGGATTCGCTAACTGCATCGCCTGGTCGTCTGTGATTGGCTATTCACGCACGGACATCTTACACCGCCGCTAATCTGTTTTGTCTCTCGCCAAAGCCCATTGACACGAATCAACCAACTGCGAATGCATATGCGTCCTGTCGCAATTACCTTACGCGAGTATATGAACTACCTACCTTCTAACTAAGATGTGTTACTTTTCATCCTGCAGCTCCATGCTGTTCGAAAACTGTACTAGTAGAGTTGTCGCTAAGTTTATTAGAAGGTCGCTCGTATTGTAGATTCTCGACGCAGGGTACCCGACATTGATTCTTTTCAGACCTTTTGGTAGATTCAAAAATGTCCCCAAGTGAGCCCTGGTGATTTTGCGTATGTTCTCTGCTGTCCGTTATTAGAGCATTGGTTATTCTCACGGGTGCTTCTGTCTGGCCGGGTTCATTCGCACTGTGGGTTGTTCGGGTTTTCGGTTGGTCACTCTTGTGTGGGGGTTTTCATCATGACTCTAAATCAGGCCTTCTAAGGGGAAGATGTTCGCACGCGTGCCAGGCACCATGGCGGTGTTAGAGAAGGCCTCGTGTGTGGGACAAGGCATGACCGAGCTGGTGATCTGTCTCCTGGCGGAATCGGTGGATGCACAATCGCTGGCGTGTGTCGTCGTGCGCCCTCGCAAATGGCCGCGTCGCTATCGACCCGAATCCGCTGTGCAAGCGGGTGTGCCGGTGGGTGATGCCTATGCACACACGCACACACATGTACACACACACCGTGCTTACGCGCCGACGGAAGCTCGCAGCATCCTTGCTGCATCCAACTTTGTCCCCTCCATCTCCTTCTTTGACTTTGTCACTTTGCGCCGTGCAGTTTTATTCTCCTTCGTCTACGAATAGCCAAATGTCTTTCGAACGCCGTTCACTACTTGCCTAAAGCTCACAATTTCACTCATTTACTTATCAGACCTACCTTATTGGAATCTGATTTTTCATCCAACTGTTCCTATTGAAGTTGAAGCTAAATCTACAAGGCTCATGACAGTTTCTCGACCTTTAATTTGGTTGTAAATTTGCGGTCTCTTCTAGAAAATAAATATTTTTTTACAACGGAAACATGTTCTGGTATCTGGTCATGCACTTCGGCATTTTCCACGGCTTTGATGTCTATCTCGCAGTCAATGACATGTTTGCACCATCTCACTGCGATGTGTGGAATTACTAGTTGATTAAAGGACTGTTTGGTGCTTTCCGAGTTGAGATCTCATGTCTGTCAGAATCTCGGTATGTGATTTTCCCGCTACTATACCTCCAATCCCCCCCCCGAAACATCAGCGGCGGTGTTACTACACTATCCTGAATCTTCAAAATAAGGAAGATGTTAATTTTTTTCTTACTTTGGGGCATTTTGTCTTCTTTGATTTTGATAGGAAAGTTTGACTTTTCCTTACCATGCTCCACTTGTTCATTACTACCGGTGATTCTTGGTTTACTCTCGTATTCCACGCCGCAGTGCAGAGCCCCCTGCTTCTGTTTAACGACAATTGAAGCCTATTCCTGTTGGAAAGAACCCACGAGGCTTCAGTCTTCGAGGGCACGTTTTGATCTGGCTTGCAGGTCCCGTGGTCGTGCTTAACTTTGACACCGGTTGTGAGCGGAGACGTGCCGTCATTCGCTTAGTCGGTCTTTGATTCACCCCTGCACTTGCTGCCATCTGATTTCGTTCTCTCTATCACACTGGTGTGTATCTACCACACACCTTTACCGTCACATTATAGTGGTTCTAATATCTTCTGTGATTAATTAAGCGCAAGGTCCTTTGGTTGCTAACTGCTGAACGCCCAGATTTTTAAACCTCGTTGATGAGACAAGACTGCCTCCTGTTCATTCGTTTGTTTTAAAAGCTGTCTGCAGTGACAAAAGCATTTTAAGGTTACGAAGTTGGCTCTTACTTTTGCTGATCTTGTTAGTATTCCAGGGTTGGATGTTCACCAGTGGCATAAATGGTGATGTTGTGCTTGTCGGTACATGAGTTTCCAAAACGGGGTTTCACTCCAGCGTTTGGTGTTGTTTTTTCCGGAGGTGGGTGTTGAGGCTCATAGGTTTGATGGTGTGCTTCAAATAACTCGATAGATCGGTTCCTGTCGATGCGGTCACTCCATATCCTACGGCAATTACAAGAACTCTTGGGCTTTACGTTATTGGCTTCAATGCAGTTTCGTGTAGACTGTTCCTCGGACGTCAGCCTTGTACTACTTTAGAAGTTTAGAGGTGTTGCGAAGAAAATGCAAGGTGGTGTGCATGCCAACCTTTTTGTGTGTTATGATTATTTGAGGTACGTTTACGCTTGTTCTTTCCTCGTATATTTTCACGTGAATTACACTCTAACCCTAATCTAGCCCTCCCACCATTTGCCTTTGAGCATCCTGTTGTTACATTTCCACCTGCCTTTCAGATTTTGCGACCAGCAGAGAAGAAGAAACCGTACGCCCCATTGGTTGGTGGGAACAGACCGACGACCCCACCACGGGGCACCAAACCGAAGGGGAAATAATCGACTACACTGTCTCTGCGTCATCTTACCCTTGTCTCTTCTGTCTCCCTCACACAAACACGCGCTCTAATTCTCCGCTCCCACTCGCACCGCCTGTGCGCGTCGCCAGCCCCGTGTCCCTCCACCCCCGCCCCGCCCCGCCCTGCCCCACCCACGCATATTTCGCTCTTAGCTGGCACGACCACCGGTAGGAATAACAGCAACAACAATATTGGTAACACCTTTGCTTCATCTCATCGGGAAACGCGATGAGATTGGATGCGTGCGTTCGTGCGTGCATCGGAAGGCGTGGTCGGTTTTTGTGCTCTACCGGTTGCGTCATAACCAAACACCCTTGCAGCCGACGTTATTGCTGCTACCACTTTTGTACATGATTTTGTCTATCGCGCGCGCGTGTATGTGTGTATGTATGCGTTTCTTTCTGCATCGTAGTGATACACCCCCACTTGAACGCGTTTCCCACGCGATCGCTGTTCTCGTCCCCGTCCCCACCGAACCCCGACCTTCGTTGATACGTCATGCCTCACCCCTCTTGCCTGCCCGTTTTTTCTTCTCGATACAAAAAAAATACGTGTTCATTATTCGATTAGTCTCATGCCCATCATCCTTTATTTACACGAAAAGGTGGGATAACACCCCAGAACCAGCGTCCGTTTCGGGGCTGTGGTTACCCTTGAACCGAGCTCACGCTTTCAAGCAGACACACAACCAAGAAGTTTGGATACAATCGTTCCAGATGGCCTTGACTGCCACTCCCGCATAGTCGCTCATTCCGAACACCACGTTGTGTGCAGCCAGGAATGCGTCGTTAGCTGATGCCTGCTCTACAACCGGGCGGTGCTCACAGGTGAAGCTGAGTGAGTCACCGGGCGATGCGAGGGACTAGTCAGATTGCTGCATTGGTCCAGGCGTGTTTTCGGCTCTGTGACTTTCCGATTTTCACACAAGCACGTTGGTGTGACCTCGCGTTACTGAACACATGGGGCCTTCTTTGGGTGTACCAATTGAGAGCGTATCTGTTCATGGCCTACGATGCCTCATTCGCAGTGGTCGTTCAATAATGATTGCGGTCGATCCAGCCCCATGGGAACGATGTCGACCAGGTGGAAAGACTTAACTTAATTACGAATAGGACCCTACGGAATCTTACGATATCAGGTAATCGAGGTCTATTTTACGCAGAATGTAGGTTTCGTTATAAAAAATTCAATGGGGCATAGTGGGTTTCTTGAAGTTTGTTAAACTTAACTACCATAACGGATAGTGAGAATCCATCCTAGGTGCTTTCTGAAATGACTCAAACTTTCAGATTCTATAACACCACGTGGTACTTGGAGGACGTGGACAGGTGAGACTACTGCGGAATGGCGTGTGGGGTTTTTTTTAACCGATTATAGCCTGGGTCACTGGTTTCAGTCCAGTTAATAGACATCGGGCGCACGCATACCGGACCGTCATTTTTGTAGTTAATACAAGATTAAAGCAAATCGTCTTCGACACCCTAATCAGGTGATGAGTGAATCATCGCCTTATGGGCTGTTCAGGTGGTAAACGCTACGCGTTCCCGTCAAACTCTCCTGCATTTGCATGCGCAGCTTTGGGATCAGCCAAACTGAGTACGCAAAATCAATACTGAACCGATCCGATATTGAAGTCGTGGTTATCCTAGCACGCCACGTTTGCGATTGTAAGATTCCATGGAGTCAATTGACAAATTATATGGTACAAGTGCATTACATGAAGGTGGCGTTTTGAATGTAAACTGCGTAAATTCGGTGTTTAGTGAGGGCTATTGATTGCCCGTGATTTTCGCTTCTGGGAGTAGCAACAGTTAACAGGGCACACGGGAGTGGTTTTTTCCTAACCTCCTACCACATACCCACCTTGCACACCTTCCTGTCCCCTGTTCTGGTGTACATGGTACGTCAATGTTTGACGTGGCCTGATTTCTGTTGCATTCGTATATTTTGTTATTTCATCAGGAATAAACGTTTATATATGTCTTATTTATTAGCTTTTCCACGTGATCCCGCACGCTACATGCGTGAACACGCGCAGATACATATGTAAACGTGCTACGAGCTGGTTGTTGACGTTGCGTGGCATGAGAAGTCTCCTTCCTGCGAAAATTTAGTGTCTCACTAACCACGAGCTACTCAAAATGTTTCAGTAGATTGGCTTTGTAAAGAACGACGCTTCCAGGACATCGCGCCAGATAATTTTGACGTCATTTACGGTAGGTAGATGTTTAGAGCAGTAGTTGCTGTTATAATATGTTTGAATTATACAGCGTCATTGCATAGTTGCTTATAAAGAGGTGAAAGTGCGCCTGGGAGCCAGAACTACCAGGAAATAGCTTTGCTCCTGAAAATGGTTTCTTCTATCACATCACTCAGTAGCATTCGCTTACTTCCGGCTACCAGATTCGCCAGCTAATGGAGCATTCTCACTCAGGACATTTGATTTTTAGAATTGATTCACCTTGGCACCTGTTGTTGCTTTTTTCCATATTCTGTCAGACAGTACTCAGGAAAAAAACTATTAACCACGCATGAATCTCACCGAAACATGTACCTGCATCGTTAGTGGATTTCTTCAAGTGAATCTGCAATTTACTGACCACAAAAAGCTGCTTTATGGCGGCAAATCCATGACAAAACGGAAATATCCCTCGACCACTTCTTCCTCCACCTAATGCCCCACCTGCTTTTCAGGAAGGGGCGGCGGGTTGGGTTAAAATCGAAGTTAGCCCAGAAGGTGGCCCCTACTTTATCATGGCTCATTTATGATCGAAATTAATCGCTTTGTGTCAACAGTTACATTAGTAGATTTCACATGCATGTTATTTAGATACATACTTGTTTGGGTCAATTACTTGCACTGGCTGTTTTTCGATGTTTTCTAAAAAAAACAGCTCATCAAAGCACGGTTTTGGGCAGAGTCCCAAAGACTCTGAAGATCTCTAACTCATGGGTCTCTCAAAGCCCTTACGTGATACACATTTGCCCTCCAACATGATTGGATGAAATCAGCGTGCAATTGCAAGGCGAAAATTTCCGTTAAATCTGCACAGATTGATTGGTACACGTTGACACCCGAACAAATCCATTGGTTCTCTGAGCCACGCCCTTTATCATTGGTGAGGTGCTTGAAGGCGCCTAACTGGAAGCATTGTTGAGGAGACATTATTGCAAGGCAAAACGTGCAAAAATGAGTGCACTGCCATTGGGACGGCGAATTGTAATTCCCGTGGACAATAGCTGTTCATCCATTAGAGCCTTTACCTGGTTCTATAAGTTCTGTTACCACCCTGGTGATCATATAACCTTCGTTCACGTATTGCAACCAACATCAACTCAGTCCGACGTTTATTTCACGCTTGAACACCCTATAAGTCTACCTGTGCGAAATTTTTCGGTGAACATGGACCACGCAAACGACGTGGTGACAAAGTTTAAAGGCCTGGCTGAGCGATTTAACGTGCCATTTAGCATCGAAATTCTCACGGATAATTCAGTCGGCGAGGCGGTGGTTCGACTTGCGGAGGACCGCCAAGCCAACCTCATCGTGACCGGTTCGCGCGGGTTCGGCACGGTGCGCCGCACACTGCTGGGCAGCGTCTCCAGCCACTTGGTGACGCACGCCAAAATACCCGTGCTTGTGATACCGCTTGCGCCCAAAGCCAACTACTCCACGAGCACATGACAGTGCAGGGCAAAATGCCAAACCCGAACTGTACTCTGCTGTTCCAACTAACAGGTGATCAGTTAATTTTTCCATTCTGTCCGCATATTTACTTTGAATTCCGTTTATTGCGCAAAAATTAAATTGAAATCTGTGAACAGCTAAATTAATGAATTTTACTAGAAGGTTTTTGGATCGCTCAAGGAAAATTATAAATTATCGTCTGTACTGGGAATGTTTGCAAAATAAATGAACGGGTTAACGTTCTTCAAGGAGTTCAATCAATTAATCACATTTCCAATCTTTCAATAACTGACATCTTACCTTTAATCACATTTTTATGTCCCATAGCAGTTGATTTAATCACAAGCCATCAACACTGTCTAAGCGGCACCGAAGCAGGCACATGAATGTATTGCTGTATAAGCAGATGGGCTTATTTGTCCCCATTCGTAAGAAACAGACAACGTTTCACGAAAGTGTTCAGGAATATACTTGGTTGCCGAGGTCAAAATTAGATTTCAATGTGCCATCGACGACAATACTTCTTCTCTATTTACTGTACGTGGTTTAATCGAGTCACAAGGTCAAAAGTGATCGATACTTTTGAAATTAATAAATGGTTCCTCTTTCCCAAATTAAGATCTAACACATATTTGTTTTTTTTTGGCAAAAATGACACCTAAGGTACCTAGCCGCTTACACACGACAGTTACTTTGTCCTTTGAAGGCCTACATGTCTACAAGAGCCAAGTCAAGCCACATGAGTAATACTGATGAGTTATTACCATACAAAAGGTTAAAACCGTTAAAATCTAAATTTGCGTACGCAAAAAGACAATTACTTGGTGCTCCAAAGCGAGGACACTGAATCTTGATAACTCAAATATCTACTCCTTTCACAAAAATGCGGAAAAGCATCGAATTTACAAACGAGTGCAATTAAGACAACAGTATGTAAGTTATGGTGCTTCCTAAGCTATCTCACAGAAGCACTTTGTCTGAACATCGTCGTGGTCTCATTTTTAAGTAAAAGCAATAATTTAGGCGATATCTAGACGGGTTAGAAGGTAGTTTGACCACAGAGAACCACAAGTACTTTTTTTATTAATGAAATAAAACAGTGCCTTTGTTTGGCTCATGAAGGCAACGTTTGTGAGTGGAGAGGTAAAGTGCACCCACGGTGAAACGTGAGCGCAGCACACGCCAAGCCACGGTTATGCTCTCGACAGTCATTCGCCTGCAGAAGTTAGAAGCAAATTTGGTGCACCTCGGTACTCAATGGTCTTAGTACGATGCGAATACAGTAAAAGTAAGAAAAATCAAAAGGTAAAAAATGCTAAAGCAAACAAGATAAAACTGCGTAAAATCGTACACTATTACATTTTTGCAAAAAATTAGAACCGTTTATACCAGTTGCTACTTAATAGAATTTTCAAGCACAAGATGTTAGTGAAAGTATGTAATGGCGTGACTTACTGCGGTTTCATGTGTGCTGGGTGTTGTTTATTATAATTTGATTTAATTCTTTTCACAACGACCAATAGTACTCCTTCTTTTAAAAATTATTTCATAAACTGGCAGAGATGGTTGTGTTTCTTCCAGAATCTCGTTTGTCGAACTCATTAAATGTAAAAAATCAATCTTTCTCGACTTTGAACCCCGTCAAAGTTACTAGCTGCAGTTGATAATTCTAACTACCCTAAACTATTGACATTTTCTAATCTGTGTCAAAAAAACATGACAGCCGGCGCGTCAGCTAAACGCACACTTTTTAAATTAAAAATCGGTTTTAAGGTGTAGTTCTTAGGCTGAAGGGGATGTTCTTTTAACTGGGACATGTCCAAAGCGAACTCGTATGCACTGTTCACAACGTGGATAAAGAGTCAATCATTTTACCTATCCATTGTCGGAAATGCCGCAATAAACCTCAAGAGCTTTCTGCTGTACATTCATTTGTAATTATGATACAGAGTACCAAAGATCCTTTTTCTAACAGTCAATTCGGTTTTCTATGATCTAGTTTATCTAAAATACAGGTGAAATTTTTCATGAATGAGGTCCATCTGTGGGTGTCGGTCGACGAGACCTATAGCCATCGACGACAGATTTGTTAATAAGATTTGGAGGTTCAATTCTATGCGCATAAATACATCCTTAAGAAACCTCATTTACCTTTAACAAGTTGCAAAGCTCATTAAAAACGAAAAAGTGAGCTTTGGTTAATGAGCTGAGTGTCGTCGAAGATAAAACTACAACACAAGCAAAAAAAATTGTAAATAAACGTGGAACCGAACGTTAGAGAAGTTACTAAATTATGGCAAATTTTTTCACCTGTTACAAAAAAACCGACGCATATTTGTATTCATTGTTTTGAAATCCATTAACATTACGAGGCTGTACATTGTATCCATCGATAAAACTAACCAGCTTGCCTGACAAATAAAGATTGTGGCATGTGTTGTCATCTGACCTCTTTTTTATTACTGGGTGTAACCAGCAACAGCTTAAGAGGAAACAGACAGACTCGCTGGAATTAAAGAACATCGAAAACAATCTGAAGGTTAAACAATTGAATTCAAGTTGTCCTGAACAACAAATATTATAACAGCAGGTAGAGCAAACAGCAAATATAAAACAATAAATATATACAACTAATAGGGACACTTACGGCTAATGTGTAACGCGCCTACCGAGCGGGGACCTAAATAGGGAGATGACTGTTAGCTCGTCCCTCTTAGATAGCCACACCACCATGGTTAGCTACCAGGCACACGATAGAAGAATAGGTGGGAGAACCGGATGTATTCCATACTACCGCATGCAAACTCAGAGGGCAAGAGCTTTGGGAGAGTTAGAGTGGGGAAAGGGATGGCCGCGAGGAGGGTTGGCGTTGCCCTCGGACTCACGGGCGTGCCTTGATGAAGGCGAGAATGCGGGAAGGGAGAGGAGGACAAAGAACAGGCCAGACCGGCGCGCGTCACATGTGGATAATTTAAGTGGTGTTCCAATCAAACCAATATAGTAAAACATGGGGTGAATCAATACTAAAAGATGAATTTTACATTCCCCTGGCCAATGTTGTTCTCTGCAATGACCAGTGGGGTGAGGGGAGTCGACAATAAGTAGGTTGTAATAGTGGTGAACTTGGAATTGGTCATGGACACCGCTGCCTCCGTGTCGATAAGGATAGCTGACTTTTGGTATTCTATATATCCTTACATTGTTAGTGCGTAAGAAAAAGATAGAGGTAGAATTGAGGGTTTTGTGATGACAGCGCCTAGCCTCCTTGCCAAATATTCAGCAGTGCCCACATTTCGACTGATCTGAGTAGCAGATCGGTAGAGATCCGCATGATGTAGTAGAGGGTCTCGGTGACGCTGATGATGTTTTGGGTGTGAAAGGAGAGGTTAGGGGTGCTGTGTATTTAAGACTGACATTGTCATTGGGCAAAGCGGGTTATGGTTGAATGTGGTGGAGAAAATCATATGCTCGAGCATAGATGCGTTGTTGTACCTTGGCCAGACTCGCAATAGCAAATATTTCGTCGAAGTAGATGCTAACTTTCCCTCTGATTTGTTCCACCAAATAAAGATCCTGGATGCTTACCATTAAGGGTGCTTTTATTCTGTCCGGAGGGAAAATCATGTGGGCGGCAAGGGAGAGCTCCATAAAATAGTTTTGGGACATTTTACACAAGGCTTGGTTCTGACAGTATAACTGGCATTAACTTTCGGTTGTATGTAAACAGGAATGCAAGTGGGGCCTTAGAGCCGCCATATTGAGTTCCTGTGGCAAGCAAACAGGGATCCTTACCGGGAGTTCCTCCAAGACTTCGGCCGAAAGTACTGTGGGTATACACCTCCTTTGGTCTCTGTTTGGGATTTGGAGCCTAGTGAATGTTTGTCAATGTGTAAAATTGTCTTTGAAGTGAAGAGGGGTGAGTTTAGCCTGGGCCAACTTGAGGAGCGCTTTTCGGGTTAGGGTTGAAATAGTTTAGTGGCGGGTGCTGTGGCGCGCCCAGAAGTGAGTGTGCGTGTAGGAGTTGGCTTTCATAGGTGGTTGACACCTCGACGGTGACTAAGGTCTCTTTGGATGCCGGTTGATGGTTGCAGAGTCTGGCCATGCAAATTAGGTGTTACCAGATGGATATCGCTGCTACCAAAGTGTAACGCAAGAGTGGGGTTCGGATCTAGGAACAAGGGGAAACGAGTCTGAGTAACGGTACAGACGTGACGGACTATCCTGAAAATGCTATGCTAACTATCATTCGATAGCATTTTCCGAGAGAGTACAGTACTGACCTCATAATGCAAGCTTTAAATCTTTCTTCTACGAATGATAAAGCGTGTAATTATTTCTGGTGTTGACAGCTTGACAAGCCATCCTGCATTAAATACGATGACATGACAGTTGATCAAAAAAACGTTGCAAAATTCATTAGATTCGATACAATTATTTTGCAAATTCAACTATAATTGAATTAATTAGTCTGCTTAAAAATAAACAACCACTTTTTCAAAAATTTGAAAGATCTGCCCTTAAAACGGGATCTGCGAAACTTATCTCGATTTATAGTTTCGGTTCGTAAATGACCTTCACATTTTTTAAAAATTTTCGTGTCAATCTACGAAAATGTCATTTATCAATTAACTTAGGTTCAAATATATTTATATTAATTCAGAATTCTTTCATTAATAATTAGTACCATTCCTTTTAATAACACTGGTAGCACACAATTGGGCTTCGTGCTATTCAGCACTCGAAGGCGAAGATGTATAGTCAAATGTCATTTGCTTTCGAGGGAAATATTGATTTAAAAATGAGAGTCTCGATTATTTTTAAGGTTCATTATTCTTGCATGTTGGCTTTTAAAGACTTAAAACAAAACTAAAATATTCCTGTTGTCAACGTTAGTTCTTGGCAAAAGGTACGTAGCATAATCAACAGTGCTATAAAGTAACGTACAGTGCTGCGTCAAAACACGTATTTAAGGCCATTTCCACATTGTACTATTTTACGAGTAAGGTTGCATTTTGGTTTAACTAAACATTCATTTGGGCACCTTGTTTCAACCGTGGTATTAACGTTGTTGTTGTATGCAGGATACCCGAAACCTAGTATGAAGGAGACTGATGCAACAGAGCAAGCTCTATTGATCAATCACAAGCCAAAACAGTACGTCAAACGCCTCCAATGCGAGTAAATCACGGTGGATTCGCCATGCGTTATGTTTTGCACCACTCTGTTGCGTAAACCCACAGATATAAAAGATCTGCTGCCTAGACACGTGTGGGTCAGATTTGGGTCCTGGGAAATGGTTTCTTCGACCACCGCCAAGGTGCGGTCGATGAGGTACCCATAAAGTCAGACCTCATCTGTGGTGAGGCCCAATATGAAAGGTTTAACAGTCTCCTCCTGGGACTTGCCCAATGTACATTGGAGACCATATTATATAACTCGTCCACATAGCATTTAACGGTCTCCCCGTAACGTAACTTCCGCTGATCTAGTTCCCAGAGCCGACGAGATCTGTCGGAGTGGCTAACGAAGTTATCCCTCAACGTCTGTTCAAGGTTCTCATACGGCATCTTAGGCGTACAGCCTGCTCTGTGTGCTCTTAATGCGGCTTCTTTTGACAAGAACCTCATGATGCAGGCTAAGCGGCGATCGGGCTCAACCGCACTCAGGGCATCTTGAATATTCACGAGCCACGCATCAAAATCTTCATCCAGCTCGTACATCGGAAGGACAGCTAGGGGAAAGACCAGTTGTTACATCATTGCCGATATGTTAAAAAGATATTTTGGGTCATTGTGAGAGCCGCTGCCACCATTTGTAACATGACTGGACATGCTAAGATGGCGTAGGGATAGTTATGCAGATATATTAGTACAAAAAATAGAGATGAGTCTTCGGTATCATAGTTAAGGTTCATTGTGGTTGAGGGGTTGGTTATTTAGTTGGTCCGGATTGCTCGTATCTAGCCATTGGCTCCGGCTTAACTTCTTGATATAGAAAGGCAAACTTGTGAGGTGATTGGATATTCAGGCTCTGGAGCTCCAATCGAAACCCAACAGCCCCACGCAAATGGAAGTCACACCACCTCTCACGTGATGCCACCCCCACGTCATAACACTGCGTCTTGACCAATGTCTGGACACCAAGATGGCGTCCCTCTTCCCCACATTACAACAGGACGTTTGTAGACAACCCGAGCCCTTATACAATGAGGTCTGGTACAACAGGACAGGCTTTATTAACCAATTACAAGATAGAGCCACACATCAGGCGCTGTCCGTCCGAGTCCACTATGCTGGCCACGCCGCGGATTATACACGGCTTCTCGTGCCTGTCTTTCCTTGGTTGGCTGCCTATCTTCTCCGCATGCCATTGAACGTGGAGCGACAGAGGGTTAGTTGACGCCAGCGTGGTCCAATATGTCTGCGTTCCCAGACGTCGCCACACTGCCTCCACCTCAGGGATGAAGGTGTCCTCAGCTTCGGTCTTGGTTCCTCACACTGCTGATGATAGATAAAATATCCAGTTCGAGACACCCCGACACCCTACATCTGGCAGGTTAGTAGACCAAGCGAATAGTTGACGAGGGACTTAGCTCTTGTAGACTTGCAGGAGGGCTGCTAAATCCATCGCTGGTTCCTTCTCCACTTGTAGTCCAACTGGCTTCTACTGTTCTTGCTGTCGTCGCTAATTTGGAAATGCCTCTTCAAATGCAGTAGTCCTAATCCCGGGCAATGTCTATGGATCCAGTGAATAAGACATCGGATGGCCGCCATGACAACTCCAGCTGGCATCTAAGGATCTTTGCCTCTGTTGACCTTTGTAGGGAAAGCGCTGGGGTCCAATTCGCGTTGTTCGAACGCATCCGCTGCCACCAATGTAGAATACTCGAGGCCTAATAGGAAGAAAATTGGTGCAACAGAACAGGCTTTACTGACCAATCAAAAGCCAGGGCTACATGCCAGGCACCTTCCATTCAAGTCCACCACGCTGGCCCCGCATCTCAATATATACTGCTCCTAAGTTTTGTCCTTCTCTGGTTGGCTGCTTATCTTCCTCGCACGCCATTGGAACACAGAGAGACACAGGATTGGCTGAGGCCAGGTGGTCTAATATGTCTGCACCCCGATCCGTCGCCAATGTAGAATACCCGAGCCCTAATAGTTAAAAGACTGGTACAACATAACAAGCTTTATTGATCATTTAGAAGCCAGAGCCACGCGTCAGGCACCTTCCATCCGAGTCCACCGCGCTGGCCACGCCGCTCATTATACACTTCATCTCATCCATGTCCTACTCTGGTTGGCTGCCTTCCTTTCCCGCATGCCATTGGATCGCAGAGAGACACGGGATTGGCTGAGGCCAGGTG